TACATGCAGCCTGGAGAAAAGAAGGCTCTGGGGAGACGTTATAGCGGCCTTCCAGTACCTGAAGGGGGCTACAGGAGAGATAGGGAGAGACTCTCTATCAGGGAGTGAAGCAATAGGATGAGGGGTAATGGTTTTAAATTGAAAGAGGGGAGATTTAGATTAGATACTACAAATAAATTCTTTACTGTGAGGGTGGTGAGACACTGGAACAGGTTTCCCAGAGAAGCTGTGGATGCCCCATCCCTGGAAGTGTTCAAGGCCAGGCTGGATGGGGCTTTGAGCAACCTGCTCTAGTGGGAGGTGTCCCTGCCCATGGCAGGGGGGTTGGAACTTCGTGATCTTTAAGGTCCCTGCCAACTCCAACCATTCTATGATTCTATGGTTGACTGTGTCCACCCATGAAGTCATGCGTGTTTCACATAAGTATTATTGCATGACCAGAGGAGAGCATATGACATCACTCATAACCCCTTGCTAATGCATAACCTAGTTTTATTACCTTCTCATGACCATTAAAATTAGGAGCACTGTATTTGATTAATTCTGGTGGGAATCAGAGCTGGGGAAAATATTCTGCTGTGATTGCCCAGTCAGACTGACCCTGAGAAAAAGGAAAAAATCTCTAGTATATGTTTCTAAACAGTTTCACTCAATAAAGCACTCGCTGCATTTCATGGGTAGTTGTGGCCCACAGCCAATTTTGTTCTAGTGCCTTGCCTCTGAATTTGCTTTTGAAATCTTCTGATTTCCTTTTAATCCTAATTCTACTTTAGTTGCATAACAACAATGTCCTTCTGCCCTTAAAACCCTTACACAGGGTCCCAAACTTGACTTCACTTCAATGCAGCTTTCATTTGGGATTGATACAGAAGTATTTGTTAATCCCCAAGACCAACTCAAAAGTTGACTCTTCCCTGAATTTCTACTCCTACAGAACAAAGGAGAAAAAAGTGATACCAGAGTAAAATTAGGAATCCAACCATAGGTGTGTTTTCTTTTCAAGTAAACAATTCCACTTCCGAATCCTCTAGTAAACACTTTGCTTCAAACTCCTTGTGATTTACTGACTCGTATTTATTCATCTCTTTGTGAGTCTACAGTCAGTCGGTCCAAAGGAAAGAGTAATGAGGTTGGGGAAACGTATGCCTATAACGGACTGTTCTATAAACTGCTTCCTGTAGGCCAGGATTACAATTTATATTTTCATCTATTAAATACCACGTGTTATAGATCCTTCTCTTTGACTGCAAAAGGTATTAGGACATGTTCACCGTGGCACTTTTCCAACTTTACACAAACACTGCAAAGCAATCTTGCTGAAAGTGGACAGTTTAGTATGACTCGGCTATTAATTTTTAAGGAAGAGGTTCTGTGATCTGTGGCAAGAGAAGTATTTTAATTGACAGGAGGAACTACCTACCACTCATGCAAATATTTGAAGCACTTAAAATGTCTTCATCTGTGTTTAAATATATATATGTAAAAAAAAATAAATATAATTCCCAGAAGCAGGATGTTCTTTTCACAGCGTCCACAGCACACTCTGGTGGTTGTTGCTGAAAGTTAATACCAAGCACGGACGACATGCTAAAAAGAAATAAAGTGTTTTTCGACACAGCTGAAAAACAGTCTATGCAGGTAATTGCTGTGGGTAGTTAAGACTGGAAGGGAGAGGCACCAGGGATATATTCCGGGGCAGCAGGGGCCGGTGCCGGGGGGGGGGAGGCTGGCAGGAAACTAGTTTCATGGAAGGAAGACCTTTTTGGGGAGGAAGACTTCTTTCTGTGCTGTAAGGTCGTAGCGATTCGGTATGGAGGCAGGGAGCCAACATCTGTACCAACGTCTTCATTTCCGTCCCTTCAAGGACAGGGCAGGCACTGCCGAAGGGACGAGCGGGGAGGATCACTGGCTATTCAGTATTAAGCTGGCTTTATATGAAAGTGGCTTAGAGCCACATTTGCATGACAAAGCCATTTTCGTGGAGCTCATCAATAAGGAAGGCTACAGCCTCCATTTATTCTCCCTTTGCTCTTGCAGGCAGATCACGCACAAACAGTAAAGGCAGTGAGGGGGGTTTGGGTTAAAAAAAGCCCTCGGTACCCGTGTGGAGGCTCATCCAGGGCTGTGAGCAGCCATGCGGCTAGTGCTGCTGTGGGGCTAGCACTGCCATGCGGCTAGCACAGCCATGGGGCTAGCACAGCTGTAGAACTAGCACAGTGGTGGGGCCATGCAGCTGGCACAGCCTTGGGGCTAGCACAGCCGTGGGGCTAGCACTGCCATGCGGCTGGCACACCCATGTGGCTAGCAGGCTAGCACAGCTGTGGAGCTAGCACAGTGGTGGGGCTAGCACGGCCATGCGGCTGGCACAGCCGTGGGGCTGGCACAGCCATAGAGCTAGCACAGCCATGTGGCTAGCACAGCCGTGGGGCTAGCACAGTGGTGGGGCTAGCACGGCCATGCGGCTGGCACAGCCGTGGGGCTGGCACAGCCATAGAGCTAGCACAGCCACATGTGGCTAGCACATGTGGGGCTAGCACAGCCGTGGGGCTTGCACAGCCATGGGGCTAGCACAGCTGTAGAACTAGCACAATGGTGGGGCTAGCACTACCATGCAGCTGGCACAGCCATGAGGCTAGCACTGCCATGCGGCTGGCACACCCATGTGGCTAGCACAGCTGTGGAGCTAGCACAGTGGTGGGGCTAGCACTTTCATGTGCCTGGCACAGCCGTGGGGCTAGCACAGCCATGTGGCTAGCACTGCCATGGGGCTGGCACAGCCGTGGGGCTAACACAGCCGTGGGGCTGGCACTGCCATGGGGCTAGCACTGCCATGCGGCTGGCTGATTCATGGGGCTAGCACAGCCATGTGGCTAGTACAGCCATGGAGCTAGCACAGCCATGGGGCTGGCACTGCCATGTGGCTAGCATAGCCGTGGGGCTAGCTCAGTGATGGGGCTAGCACAGCCATGGGGCTAGCAGAGCCGTGGGGCTAGCACAGCCACGGTACTGGTACAGGCATGGGGCTAATAAAGTGTCTTTTTTGAGGAAAGAAAGGGCGGCTGAGGCCGTTTTGGCAGGCCCGCCGAGGCGGGGTCGGGCGGGTGCCCCCCCCCCGGCTCGGGTAAACGCGGGCCGCCTTCCCCGGGAGCGGCGGAGGAGGAGAGCCCCGGGCCCCCCAGCAGAGCAGGGACCCGCCGCAGGCTGCCGGTCCGGGGCTCCACATCCACCTCCAGGCCGCCCCTGGGCCAGGAATGGCGGCGGGGCCGGGCCCAGCCCGCCGCATGCCGGCGGTCGGCCAGGGAAACGCAGCGCGGGGCCGGCCTTCCGCGGACAAAAGGGTGACGCCGTGAAGGAATTCCTGCCGTGCGGGGCGGCGGCGGCGGGGCTCGGGAATTTTTTTGTGTGGTGATTTTCTTTTTCTTTTTTTTTTTGTGGTAGCTTTTTTTTTTTTTTTTTTTTTTTAAACCCAGGACAAAAGGGTGACGCCGTGAAGGAATTCCTGCCGTGCGGGGCGGCGGCGGCGGGGCTCGGGAATTTTTTTGTGTGGTGATTTTCTTTTTCTTTTTTTTTTTGTGGTAGCTTTTTTTTTTTTTTTTTTTTTTTAAACCCAGCGTTGTTCAAGCCCCAGGCGGGGGCTGCCGCAGAAAGCGCTCGAAAACGGCACACGCGGAAATCGCAGGGTCATCGCTTCCCCTCCCCCACTCCGCGCTGCAATCCCCGGTACACCACCCCCACCCCCC